AAATTGATGAATTATAAGAAAATTATTATTTTAAATGCATAGGTGGGTTAAACTATAGAAACATTTAGTTTAACACTCGACAAATACTTCATAGGAATCATAGGAATACTCCATGCATAAAATTATGTCTAACTTCTTCCGGCTCGCACTGCGACTACCACACGCCAGCTTATTTCATAATTTTTGACGACAGTTTTTAACACAATAGAGTAATTCGTATTTTATTTGACAAGAGCAGTATTTTACATCTACCTCCTACCTTTCTGTGTTGTGAATTGTGTTTTTCTCTTTATTCAGCGTTTCTCAATTTCGCCTGGTCATGGATGCATTTCTTACTTCTTTCCTTGATGGAATTATCTGGTTCACAAATGTACGCTTCGAGATATTTACAAGGACGCTGTAGACCTATCAACATTTTTAGTGCTGTTGCACCTTCGCTTGCTATTCGTTACTTGATCAGAAATGGTTCATACTTAAGTACAATTTTAAAGCCGTGGATTCGAACGAAACTTCGCAGCTTTTCGTTCAAGTCATATTACGCTACCGCTAAATTCACCGCTTGAAGCTCTCCTTTGCGTGTCCAGCTGGTTCATGTCATATTGATTTGCTATTTCTATGACGCATTTTAGATTGCCGTTATTTAAACGCTGCTGCTATTCAAAACTATCATCAAAAGGTGCCAAATGAACTGACAACACACCAGCGCAAACTGTGCTTACAGAGCACAAATTTTACAAACTCAAAAAAGCTCTGATTACTCACATTAGCAGAAGTATGAACAGAGGCAATGGTATGCATACGAGCAATATCTTGTCAAGAGTTATTAATGAAACGCTATGATCATTAATCTCAACTGTGCTCCTTATGGACTTAAATTTGACTTCAACAAATTGATGACTATCAGATCTGCTTTTGCTTTGCCACTGTACCTCCATAACGAGCAGAATCTGGACACTAGCCAATTGGACGTTCAAAGAAGGGATTGTAAGATTAAAAGGGGAGGAGATAGAGCCTTTCGTCGCTCTTGTTGCCAAAGGACTCTAGTTGACAGGGCACGCTTCGATGATCAACAACCGAACAGTAGTAACATACCGTTCAACGTATAAGACTTCAATTAGGAATCGCATCTTCTTCTTGTGCCAAAGCGGAGGCCGGCGTTTCATGCATTAGACGGACAATTACTTCTGACACAACACACGTTCCGTTAGTTTTCATGTCGATTACTTCGAGATTCCGATCTCTATCGTTTGGTAGAAGAAAGGTTTTCAAGGGAAAATGATTAGCTGTCCATGAACTCTTCGCAACTGAGAATAAAGGACAATCTGAGCTCCTGAGCGTCAGACCCAAATTGAAACAAATACATCATTTGCTTTGTAGTTTGGTCATTCGGCTATCTCTGTTGTTTTTGGATGAATTTGATTATGAATAAATTATATTATTTTAGTGATAAATTGTGTGCACAACAGGGTACAAATCAGCTAAAATTTCTAGCAAAAACATTAAACACTAATAGTGAAATTTAAAAAAAATAGGAAGCAGTTTGACACCTCGCCAAGATCACTTCAAACAATTACTTGAAAAGCAACTCATTGGGTGTATGATGGTGAGTAGCTAGCGAGGGCACTTTGGATCAATAATTTGAATAGCCTCACTGCTAAAGTTTCTTTCTCTCAGTTAACAATTGTCACGGGATCAGTCATTCTACGACAAACGGCTGAAAAAACAAGAAAAAGAAATTAAAATCCACAATGGCCGGAGCAAGGCAGAGTAGCCGACGCTTCATATTGCCGAAGGCATATATCATTTCAGACATCTGTCATTAGCACTACTCCATATTGATAATAAATTGCACGTTAAGAACGATATGTTTATTATCGTAACACACTTCTCATCGTCTTCTGCAATATAATCAATGTATGAGACCAAGAGCTCATAACCACTGTGCTAGTTTCGTCAACATAACTAACGATTTAGATTTCATAAACAGGATATTTTAAACACATGGACATTCTCATTTTTATCTTAACTTCAACCTTCTTCGTCCCAAATATGGACGGAGCAGCAATTATTTCTAACCTTCATCCGTTTTAATCCTAAAATTTTATTCGCCATTGCATGTTACTTTCAGAAACAAGGACATGAGGATCGTTTCAGGGAGCAACGAATGATGCTCAAGTTCATTCTTCATCATCTTCATCTTCCATAATCCGCATCTCCTTTCGGGTCGCGGAGGCATACACTGCTTCCAACGTTCCCGATCTTGTGCCAGAGTCTGCGCCTCGGCGGAAGACAGCTGAAGTCTGGAACATACTCCTTCCATATATTTGCACCAGGTTAATCTTGGCCGTCCTCTGGCCTTCTGCCGGTCGGATTCGCAAGAAACAGTTGCTTAGCCTTCCTTTCTGGAGGCATTCGCAACACAT